TGCCCACCGTGTGTTACACAGCAAGGTGCAGCAGGGACGGTGACTTGTGCGTGAATTAGTTCATAGTGATAGACTTGCGCAGCATCTACCACACTCCCACTTCCCCACTCCCCACCTGGACCCGGTGTCAAGACAGAGCCAAGAAGACCGGAGGCGGGGAAGGGTTCAGGTGTCCCACGACACGGACAGACATCTTGCAAACGGTAAACATGGATCACATTACGCCCTGGCTTGCATAGACATTAAATGATGTCATTTTAATACAAAAGATTAAATTACCTTCGAAGGGATTCGCAACAGTTGCTAAAAATGAAAGAAGGATACAGTTAGTTTCAGTTCCCGGTACTTTGACAAAATTCACAAAAATTCATGCCTCATCGAGTAATTTTACCGTGAATGCATCAGTGAATGTATGCGAAATTTTTATTTGCATACATAACTTTCAAACCAACAAACAAACATTTAAACAGAACTTTTGCTGATATAGAAAATAGTGCAGATAGAAGATCGTTGGTGCCCCCCCTACCACAGTTGATATATCCGATCTCAACGGACAGGGGAACGCGGTGGAGGTCTGACCCACAGAACGGGAGCTCGAACAGCAGAGCTTCAAAAACTGGGGTTAGGTATGTTTGGCCTATGACGGCTAACAAGCCAGAACTGGCCATTTCAGTCTCCATTGTCTTTGTCCGTACTCTCCTTCTGCCCATGTGTGTAGTTCTGGAGGTGCGCTCGCCGATCAGGTTAGCGGACCTACTTGTTCCATGCTGTCTTGGGTCTCAATTTAGAGCCCTACCAGACAAAGACCAGCGAGATTCTGTGATGATCTTTTCCGGCTTACTAGTCGTTGTCAAACAGCCTTATTTTTCCGTCTGTACTACTAATCGCCGTGGGACTGCTTACGGGGCTCCAGATCGGGCCCTAAAGTACAACAGACTAGCATGTCTTGTAGCCCGACCGGCCAAGGTACTTCCAATATAGTTCATATTTATATTCATATATATACGTACATAGAAATACGGACGTCCCGAAAAAAACTTTATAGGGAGGAGCTAGAATTCTTAAGGAAAAGAGTATAACTTTATCACGCGACGAGCGTCTCCTAGAACCTGATCGGTGAACGCACTTACAGCGCATATATATATATATATATATATATATATATATATATATATACAGTAGATGTGCTAACTCATGAAATGTCAACCAAAATTTCGAAATGCGTTCTCGTTTCAAAAAGATAAATTAAGTAGTGTTGTAAAACTAATCATGATGCAGCATAAATCCATAATGATCCAGTTACCTCAGGGTGTCGGCTTTCGAAAGAACTTATTTTCGTCTGCATGCAACATCTATACTCTGCAAAAAATGACTACATACGTAGTATGCAATTTTCTCATTGATTTTCGATGCCCTTGAAAATTCAATTATATTTTATGGAAAACATGCATAAAAATATTCATTCTTTTACTTATTCGGTACAAAATCACGTCTTCTTCCAATTTCATACTCAAAAGAAGAGTATAATTTGGTTTTAAAAAGTTTCTAACTGTGAGATTTTTTAATACCGTTAAATGGCCGTTCATGAAACGTCATGTATCTGCAGTTACGAATGTGGCTTGTAAAGTTAACAATATTGCCCAAATCCACCACTTAATTTTATGAACCTCACATGGTCTCCTCTTAACACCCTAGAGAAATGCATATTTTTCCGTACACGGAAAATATACAGCTTGTAGTTTTGAAACCCTAAATGCAAGTCTAACAGCAGGTCAGGTTCAAAATTATTCGGGAATTGGAAAAGTTTTATAAAACCGAATTATACCCTTAATATACATATACTCTACATATACATATATACTACTGAATAGCTGAGGTTGTATGCCTTCCGAGATGATACAATAGAGAGAGAGAGAGAAGGCTCATCAGAAAAAACCGAATTGCACTCGATTTTTCCGACGAGCGCTCTCTCTCTCTCTTCATATATACTACTGGCTCCCCGTGGATAGGATGTAAGTCTTACATGGTTTTTTTTCGTTGGACCCGATGGATTTCAACTCAGATACTCAAACCCACCTCCAAACATAACCTGAGAAGATTTGTGTCAAATAATTCAGTCCAAGTTCGCAAATTAAGTTCTAAGGTTAACGTATGTTTATTTGTCCTCGTATGACATCTAAAGGGTGCGTAAAACATATGTACCATTGACGAACGTAATACCACTAATTACATCATCTATTTGACATCTTTTTAAGTGGTCACACAGGCACTTAAATGACTTAACTGGTAGATCGCAGAACAACCTCAATAGCTCTCGCGTATACGCAAAATATCTAGGACTTTAGAGTCATTCTGAAAGCGCAACTAGGTGCCTACAGTGCAATCCTATTAGCATCTCGACGAAGAATGTTTCAGGAATTCGGGATTTCTGCCTATAAAACTGTCATAGATTCGAAAATGAGAAACGACAGCGAGTGAAGCTGACCAACTAAGCTCACCTCCATCGAGAATGCTCGTAATGACTAGGAGAGAGCGTTATTTGGATTTACAACTCGGAAAGTTATCCTTCCTATATGGACGACACCTTCCTTATCAGAAGGAGCGGCGAAACCGAACAGTTGTCTCAGAGGCTAAGTAATGTCCTCATAGATTTAAAATAAACACAGGAGCCCATTTCTAGATGTGACCAACAGCTAATGTCCATAAAAAAAACAAAATACAGTGCCGAAGTCGTCCTCTGTCATGGAAACAGTCACCCCGCAGCTCACGAAAGAGGCTGCATCCGAGCCCTCTTCTGCCAGGCCGTTCGCTGTTGCAGCAGGGATAGCCTGCTTAGGAAAGAGCTGACTCTTCTGTACCGGCTTAACGAATAGTCGGTCAATTGTGTTAAAATCTGCCCCAAACGTCAGGGACAGCCATGAGGTCGCATCCATCCTAGTCAAGAAATTGTGCAGTGGAAATTCCTCCCCCTCACCCCCACCCACTAAAGCAGACATGATGGCCGCCCAATCAAATGGCTATGCGTGGTGTCGTGGGCGAGGACCCACGTTGCCCTTGTGTATTCACCTAAGATTTGTCAGCACAATTGGATGAATGTAGCACAATCTTACGCTGGCGCGAATAGTCTGTCTCACGTGACGGTCTCTGGTGTCGTACTTTCCTTCCCGCCGCGAGCACTCCTGATCTGGCGTGTGTCGGCGCTCTGGCGTCTCTCGAGTGGTTCCGGAGATATGCGGCGTCGACTCTCTCTCTCGTCTGCGGCTCGCGAGACCGGTGACTCAACCTTCACGCACTGATCTCATGAAATGCTAACTGAAATTCTGAAATGCGTTTTCGAAAAGGAAGGATTACTTAAACGGGGCTGTAAAATTGTTTAGTTTGTGACGTAATTCCGTAATGTCTCAGACACGGCGGGATGTTGGCTTTTGATTGCACTTATCTTCAGCCGCCTGCAAAAACCGTAGTCGGTAAAAAGCGACTACTTAAGAAGTGTGCATTTTCTCCGCCGACCATCGACGACCTTATAATTTTAAAAATATTTTTTTCAGGTAACGTGCCTAAATTAATCTTTCTTGTACTCATTTGGTAGCAAATCACGCCGTCTTCAGAATTTTTTACTCAAAGAAAGGGCATCATTCAGTTTTAAAAGAGTTTCTAATTATTAAATTTTTTAAGACCTTGCAATGTCCATTCGACTAGCATCCTATCAGTTTGTTAACTAATGATCTTGACTAAGTATACAACACAGTTCCTATCCGTGGAAACATTTCGCAAGCCATATATGGTATTTTCTAATGGCGTAGGGGAATGTATGTTTTTTCTTTGTACGGCGAGTATACAAAAAAGTTCAAAGGCGAATTGTGTTCGAAATTATTTAGGAATAGAAGACCGTTTTAAAACCAAAAGACACTCCTGCTTCGACTAAAAAAATTAAAGACATGATTTGTTACCAAATGAATGGAAAAAATATCATTACGAAGTTTCTTCATAAAATATATTTTAATTCACATTAGCAACGAAAATTGATAGATAAAATGCCTTCTTACTAGGTAATCATTTTTTTCGAATGCGATTTTTTGCAGGCAGACAAAAGCCAACTTCCTGATATACCTAATATATTACGAGATTACGTCGCAAACTAATAAACATTACAGCCTCACTTAAGTAATCCTTCGTAATCGAAAACGCATTTCGGAATTTCGGTTAACATTTTATGAGAGCGGTCAGAGAGTGTACTTCCCTGTCGTTTTACTCTCTTAGGAGAGCTCTCTCAGGGCGATTGTGTCATACCCAGAAATCAGGCAGTTTTGAGGTTTCCAGCCAGCCGGAAATCCACTTCGACTGGCAGGAGAGACAGACTGCTTTCTTGTGTTTGCATTGCGTAGGGGAGTGAACTATCGGGGGGGGGGGACGTTGTGAGTCCTCAGATTACGTGGCATTGGCGTGTCAAACAATAAACGGGTCGGACATGTGAATAAGGACCCCCAGTACTGCAGGTGGCCTTATGCCAACTTCCAGGGGGGGGAGCGTGCCTATTCCAGAGCTCTAACCCTAACCAGTCTGTAATTTAGCGCAAAGCCACCTGTAATTCAGGGGGGGGAGATCTATATTTCCGTGCCCCACCGTAAAACGTAACAAATATTCTACTACTGGGCCAATGTCAGGTTGGAAGTTGGTTTGTTTGGGTCGGAAGACGAACCGGCGTATGGCAAATGGTAGTCGTGGAAGGACGTTAAGTCAGCAGTGTCCCTCAACGACCACGCCGGACAGGCCAATAGGTAAGTCGTCAAATGCTTCGAATTCAAAATGTTCCACCTCAACTCCAGCGGTGTTGATGAGGTTGGATTTAGTTCTAGCACGTCACCGTCACTCCACATTTGACGAGGTCCTTATCAGCAACGAGCTCAAACCTGTATTATTTACAATTTGCAAGTGTAGCTCTGTGGTTAATCGTTCAATCCTGGGTACTGGTGGACGGGTTTGTCCAGACGGCCTAGGAAATGCGGTGCGTAAATGGTCAGATAAAACCAGAGTCAGGATTTCTGTCGCTCTCCTCTGAGCTTCTGCATTTTCTGACAACGTCGGGAGCGACAATTAAAGATGGCGGTGGCGGTGGTGGCAGCGGCGGCGGCGGCGGCGGCGGCGATGATGATGTTGCTGCTGCTGCTGCTGCTGCTGCTGCTGCTGATGATGATGATGATGATGATGATGATGATGATGATGATGATGATGATGATGATGATGATGATGATGATGATGATGTTCCATCTGGATCCACCTCTTAGAATACAGAATGGAGTCTGTCAGCAACGAATATTTTTCCATCGACAGAGGATGAAACACCTAGATAACCCTCGACCGGTAGATTTGCCAGTCGTGAAGAACAAACTTGGTCAAACCGCATGAATGCCTTACGTCGAAACCGCTGTAGTATTGTTCGAAGTCCGCAGACACACTCTCAAACAGAAAACACTACTAACCTGGGGTTTACTCAAATTCGGTCGTTAGTTTTTTATTGGCAACAACACCAACCATCTGTTTTCTTCCACTCATACAGAGCAATACTTGAATAGTCGTACCTCTTCCTCCACTTGTCTGTCTTTACTTAAAATCGCTAAGAAGCTGACCTGTATCTCACTTATTGCTCGTCGAGGTAAGCAATTCTCGTGTTAAAGAGTTCGACAGTTTGCGCTTTTTTAAAATGGAAATTCTGTTTGTCAAAACATATGCACAACACAAGAGAAGAGGCTTCAGACTGTACTTTGATCATCACCTCGAGATGCAGAAGTCAGTTAAACTGATAAGTGCTCACTGAAGTACTTTGGCAACGCGATGATTGTCTTCTCGCTCTGGGTGATGCTGGCGTAGTCACCCGTGTTCTGCAGCCTTCGTAGAAAGTTGATGTAGGCCACTCCAACTTCCAGCATGCCGGTCATGGAGATGTCCAGCGTGGAGGTAGCCAGCTGCACACCAGCGCCACATGTGCTATCCGGGGTCTGATTAAGGAGGTTGAGGAAGTAATTCTTCCCACCCAGCACGCCAACCACGTTCAGGTCCTTCAGGGCGACACTCACTGCAGATGGCAAAAAGAGCGAACAGACAGCATGTTATACGTGGGATTCAGTTGGGGAAGCTGGATAATAGATGACATTACACGCATTGGTGACAAAGGGAGGCAGTATAAGCGCGTTGAATGCGCGCAGGAACTCATACACTGCTGACGAGAAGCCCTAGAATATGTTTTTACAGAAGGATTTGCTTAAAGGCGGTGCCAAGATTGCAAGACACGAAGCCTAGTTCTGGGTCGTGACAGGCTGGTTTTAAACTGAGAATGCTTCAGCATACCTTTGACAGTCCTACTCGTGAAGCAAAGGTCTGTTTCCATCTACTCCGCCAAGGGTGCATTCATACGTTTTCGTACAGTAGGTAGGCTAAAGCATGAAATGTCAACAGAAATTCCGAAATGCGTTTTCGTTTTGAAAAGATTAACTAAAAAGGGTTGTAAAACTAGTAACCTGCAAAATAATTCTGTAGTACTTCGGTTACCTCAGGATGCCGCCTTTAAATGAACTTCCTTCCGGCTTCATGCAAAAACTACACTCTGTAAAAAATGACTACTTATGTAGCATGAATTTTTCTCATTGATTTTCGATGCCCTTAAAAGTCCAAGTGTATTTCATGGAAACATGCATCAAAATATTCATTCTTTTGCTCATTCGGTAGATAATTAGGTCTTCTTCCAATTTTATATTCGAAGGAGGAACATAATTGGATTTTAAAAAAGTTTTCCGATTCCCGAATAATTTTGAACCCGCTTTCCGTCACACTTGGATTCAGGGTTTAAAAACTTCGAGTCGTATATTTTCCGCGTACGGAAACCTACACGCTTCTCCACGGGTCTAAAGGGGGACTATATGGGATTCATAAAATCAAGCAGTGGATTTGATCCAGATTGTTAACTTTACGAACCACATTGGCAAATGCAGAGATATGACCATTTATGAAGGGCCATTTCACGGTATTTAAAAGTCCCACAATTAAGAACTTTTTAAAAACCGAATTATGTTCCTCCTTCGAATGTAAAATTGGAAGAAGAACTTATTATCTACCGAATGAGCAAAATAATAAATATTTTTATGCATGTTTTCCATGAAATACACTTGGACTTTTAGGAGCATCCAAAATTAACGGGAAAAATTCATGCTACTTAAGCAGTCATAATTTACAGAGTGCAGTTTTCGCATGAAGCCGGACGGAAGTTCGTTTGAAAGCCGGCATCCTGAGGTAACTGAAATATTATAGAATTATGATGCAGGCTGACTAGTTTTACAACCCTACGTAATTAATCTTTTCAAGCGAAAACGCATCTCGGAATCCCTGGCGGACATTTCATGAGTTAGCCCACCTACTGTACACAAAAAGTGCGCCATTTCTGGTAGTTTTACACAAATTGCTTTTCTCTTAGAGGTTCTAGCAGTTTCTAAATTACTAGTTAGGTAGGTTGTGTGAAGAAGCTTTCCTACATTCCTTCATGTTGCTAGAAAGACATAAAGCGTTTGAATGTGACTGGAGTGGTAAAACTATTCCAAGAAACTGCAGCTATAATTGTGTAATTATTTGCCATACTAACAGCACAGGCAGAAGTTAAAAGTCCAGACACGCGTGATTCGCCGATCTTGTGCCGCTGTCTGAGGCAATCGCGAGGGTTTCGGCTCATCAGTGGGTCCCGCAGCCTGTCCCGTGTGTTTTCTGGTACATAAACTCCAGTCTGAACTTGCCTTGTCTAGTTGCCGAGGAAATTAATGCGCGAACATGGAGTAAAACTTTCAGAACAGACCTTGTCAGGCACGGTTCGAAATGTCGTATGAATATTTGAGCTAATTTGCGTATAATGTGATCGCAAGTATATTTAACCAAATAATCCGGGTTTTCAGCTGATCTCAAATAAAAACATTCACTTTTATTTATAGGCAGTATGCTATTACCGACAAAGACAAGGGAGACTGGAATGGCCATTTCTGGCTTATTAGCCGTCGTCAGCCAGTCATGCCCAACCCCAAAATGCGGAAAACCCAAGGCTCGAACTCGCGACCTGTTAGTTAGAAGTCCACGCCTCTAACCACTGGGCAACGAGCCCGTTGCCCTGTCGGTTCTCGATCGGGAAGATACAGTGGTAGGGGGCGCTCACCGATCGTTCATACGGAACCCACTCGTTCCGTTGTGTGTGGGGTATGACTGGCGGACGACGGCTAAGAAGCCAGAAATGGCCATTCCAGTCTCCCTTGTCTTTGTCGGTAATAGCATACTGCCTATATCGTGCGCTGTTGTGCGGCTGATGGTTGGGCTCGAGAGAGAGCCCGTAAGGCACAACGGAACGAGCGAGTTCCGCAAGAACGGTCGGGTGAGCGCCCCCTGCCACTTTTATTTATGTTTGAAAACTTTCGAAATCTTAAAGGAGTCCATCTTCAATGAGGACAGCAGCGACAGAACAAAGCAAGTGGGGCCCGATATTTCTGCGACCAGTTTGCATGGAACGGCTATCCTTAGGCGCCCCGAAGGACCCAATCGGAGATATCATCGAGGATATGGCGTGCTCTACGATACGTGGAGACCACTTTATAAGTGACCGAGGGCAGTACTATGGGGTTAGGTGTTGGAATTGCACAGTGACCCAAAGATAACATGCAAAAGGACCGACAAAACCCCCCACGGAGCCACCTGCTTTAGTGCATATTGACGCCTGCATAAACTGTCCTTGCAAGCACACAGGTCAGACTGAACGTATGCTTGGATCGTGCATTGGCTAGCATTAGCTGGCTGCGCGGGGGTGACGAATTATCCCAAAATGGCTACCCGCAAATTTGGAACGCGTCATGAATTCAATTTCACAGCCGCCAAGCTGACTGCCCATACAGGAAACTAAAAAAGCCATTGATTAACTGAAGCTTGGGTCTCTCTAGAGAATTCATTCCGTCGATGCATTGAACTGGCATCCGCCACAGAGTCCTGCCCAGTCACCCCAATACCCACGGCACTGGTCGCTGATTGTTTTGTTGTTGCCCCAATCTCTGACAGTGGACTCGGACGATGTCTCTGACGATGACTAGGAAAACTAAACAACCGTTTTGGTGCTCGATCAATCTCCTTCTTTTTAACTCGAACATACACCTTGAACTCGATCATACGCTTTCATTAGGGGAGTGTTTTCATTCACATGCGTTAGCCACAAAGACAGGGACGACAGTGAGATGGTCGTGGTTGGTTTACTGACCGTGATCGGCGAGTGATACCCTATTCCTACCCCGCTATCCTATTCGAGGTTTGAATGCAGTTTGGACGACCATTGAGTGTTTGCATTCAACTTTCTACCTGTTTGCGATGTCATTTGGATTGACCCTAACTGGCGGTGGTGAACACATCCTCTCTCGGTAAAACTTCTCAGTGCTAATATTCTAGCTTCTTCGCGACATACTGAATGGGTCCCAAACCCAGAATTCTGAAGCAGGACGGAAGTGCCTATCTCCGTCTTACAGACAGCGCAGATCAGTGAACTTCGCCGACACGTGGGGTTCCAACCTTTCAGGCCTCCACATTCAGAAAGGAGTGGTTTCCCGTCAAACCATCGTATGAGACAGAAAAATTTTCAGAACATGCCAGACTAAATAGTGAATTATACAGGCAGCAAAATAGAGTTGATTGTAGGAAGGAACGTCGACAATGACAAGGGAGAGGGGGATGATCATTGTTGGCTCACTATCCGTCGCCAGCCAACAGTATCCTATGCTACAGGTTTTGTATTATCAACCCCCACCTCCTCCCACACCGCAGGATGATAGCTAATAGCGTAGGTGTTCAATCAGATGTTTCCAAAGCCTATCGTCTCATCTAACCTCTATCTCCTCTCTGTTTTCTTTTTGGAAAGTCGCGCTCGAATATCATCCTCCGGTCGCCAGTTCGGCCGTCGCCAAGGACGGTGCCAATAGTGTGTCCAATAGTGAGATGGGTACAGGTCGGCGATTTGCGGTCGAATTAATCTGTAGTGATAGCGGACTTGCACATCATCTGCCGCACTCGCTCCTGCCTTGCCCACCCGGGCCCGATGGCAATACAGTTTCATGACGACCGGAGGTGGGATCAGCCCGTCTACGCGTGCCGCACACATTCAGATGGATCACAAAGGAGAGACCGAAATTGTGTTGGCGAAATACAGTAGTTCGAGAAAGTGTTTGTATTCCAACGGACTGGCCTTCACAGCGACTGGTCCGCCCCCCCCCCTAATTGGCCG